ATGTTGTGAAAACGTATTCGAAGATGATTTCCAAATATTAAAATATTAAAAAAGTCGATTGAACTATTTTATATAAACAGTTCAAGAAATCCCTTCCATTGATATAGGAATACGCAGAGATCAATAGGTTCTTATATCTTCATACAAACTTGAAGTCCTCCACGTTACAAAGCAAATCAAAAATGATTTCAAAAATATCAGAACGATGGAACAATTTTAAAAACAGTTCGATAATAAATCCTTTCCTTACTTGATCAATATTAACATTAATACAGCATAATTGCATATTAAGATTTTTGGGGTTTTTTTTCTGTATATTTTTCTTCATACTGTCGGATCTATATCCATATATTTTCTTACATACTGTCTACTGGAAATACAAACCTGAATTTACTTTATAACATGGAAGACTTCAAGCTTGTACGAAAATATAAGAATCTATTGATCAACGTTGACTTTATATTAACATTAATACAGCATAATTGCATATTAAGATTTTTGTTTGTTTTTTTCTGTATATTTTTTCTTCATATATATATATATATATATATATATATATATATATATATATATATATAAAGGATAGCGTCTCAGATTGAAAATCGAAGAGTCGAGTTCCAGTTTGAATTCCAATCGTTGCATTCACTTAGGTGCAAATATCTTTTGGAAAGGTATGAATCCATCTATTCTCCCCACAAATATGGGTAAATAAGACGATAGACTGGGTCCTATATCCTTGGGAGTAACCGATCTAAGAGAAGGTCAACTCTCAAGTCGAAACCATCGACCTGCAACTATTTTTTGAAATGCCTTAACCAAGCCACGATTGGCCAGGTGTAGTGACTACGGCTGAAGACATGATCAATCAGGGAAGAGTTACTCCAAAAATAGTGAGAAATCCATGGGTTTGGTTTTGTATATATATATATATATATATATATATATATATATATATATAAACTAACGCGCAGCTTTAGAGCAGGAGAAGAGTAATGTGTGCCATTCGCCTAACGGTGAAGCATACGATCTTGCAAAGAGTGACGGACAATTAAAGAAAATGATGGCGATCTATTAGAACAGGAAAGAAATATGAAGTCGAGAATAAACATACGAGGTAACTGGGTATGTTAATCAAAGAGATCAATAACAGAGGCTTAATATAAATTGAAAATCTATTAATTAATATTCCCACCTGAAGATGTATTCTGACGTGAAAGACATGGGACGCAAAGGTATAAATAATTTCTTTATATTCATCCGGTCGTACTTCTTGCACTGAATTCCTGTGACACTCTGTCTCCATTCGATTCTATTGGTCATTATATTAGGTAGGTCTGAGGGAGGGAAATTTATCTTGTCACAAATCTGCTTGACATAGTTTGGGGCTTGTCCTCTTCTACTAGTTCCTCTCTGTTTAGGTACCCACAAAATAACTTTAAATAAGCTCTTTAGCTCTCCAGAAAAATTAATCTGATTCTATGCTTCTTGATGATGTCACGAACACACACACACACACATATATATATATATATATATATATATATATATATATATATATATATGTGTCTGACATCATCAAAAACATAAACAGTAATTCGGACTTTGCTAACTAGATGTTTCTTTTGTAGCTGAGTGGTTAACAGCATATCAGTTTACATATATATATATATATATATATATATATATATATATATATATATATATATGTATGTATGTATATATATGTATATTGTAGTACAAAATTTAATGATAGCTAGAAATAAGTTAAAATTTATATGCCATTTAAAAAACAAAAATGCCATATAATTTTGCTTATTCTTAGCTATCATATATATATATATATATATATATATATATATATATATATATATATATATATATGATGATTATGAAAATTTCACTGAAAGAAAATTATTGAATACATCAACACAGATATAATGACAATATTCTCCACACGTGACAATCTCTGACGTTATTTTCAGTTAAAAAAATATGAAAATAGCGTTTTCTACATTCCAGTTGCTAGGTACATTCTGTTTTTGTTTTTATTAGTTACTTTGTTCATTTAATTTCATTTTTGTATTTTGCTTTGATAAAATCCACATTGGACGAAACGCGTCAGCAATTACCAGTTTTCCTATTGTCATTTTTATTCATAAATATATATATATATATATATATACGTATCCGAAGAATGTACGTAAGAGAATATCACTAATTAGACTGGAATTGCGGATCGGCTGCTGGTCGTTATCCATTAGACCACCCGCACGCCCAAGCTTACAGCACCTGGTAACAAAGACAATTACTATTTACCCACAGTGGTCAATAATCAAGTTAGTTATGTATTTGTCTTCATTGGCCTGTATTGCTTTGCCAAGTTTGCGCATGCCTATTTTAAATGAAGACTCCCTGCTGAGTAGGACGTAAGCCATACGTACTAATGTGAGCAAAAACTAATAATTATATAGGTATAAGCTTGGTATAGTCTGTTGGTTCAGTTTCAAATTAAGCGATATATTTATTTATGTAACGTGTATGGGCGCTTGGCTGAGTGTCTAGAACGTTCGCTTTCCGACGATGAAAGCCGGGATGGAATCTCGGAATGTTATCGATGAGCGTTTGGAAAGTGCCTGAAAACGATACCACATGTTGTTCCAAATAATATGCAAGCGCGAAGTCCTAAGTCATCGAGATATTGAGCGTAAAGATATTCAAGAAATCGATCACGCCAATGATTGATTTGATTTTTTTTAGAGTTTATCAACCTTTTGCATGTTATTTAAAGCCATGAAATATTTTTAGATCGTAATAATGATAATAATGATATTTACCGATACACGTTATACTAATTAACCCATAGCTGGGGGAAGAGATGAATTCATACTTTTCCTAAGGGTATTTGCGCGTAAATGAATATAACTATTCCGAATAGATTTGGCGCTCGACTCCATCCGACCACTAGCTCATCCAAGCTTACTGCTCTTGGTATTCCCAAGCGGTCACCCATCTAGTGATCACGCTAAGTACACACTGCCTGCTTAGTGATTGAACTCATAGTTACGATGTCACCAAATTAAGAAGTCAATACCTTAATCCATTAGCCTATTGTCCCATGGGATAACTCTTTGTGTCGAGCTGTATATTCTTGAACTCAGTGGAAAAAGGGTAAGCAACAACTGAGCAGTAGTATAAATAAGAACTTGACGATATATCTCTAGAAATGGGCAGTGAAACGATAAAAGTCTACCCAGTTTGAAATTTGTTGTAAGCTACCCAGTTCGATATACACCTGATGAAGGCCGAAGGAATAACGGTCGAAGAGTTGTGATAACAACAGCAAAGATGGGGACTATAGTTTGCATGTAAATAGTATAAATAATAACTCCTTATCCCCAAAATTCAAGCAGAAATGCTTATAATGAAGCAAATCGAACAAGGACCAGCTACACGTTAATAGTGATAATTTTTTTTTTTCGCCATTAAAATTCGAAATGAAAACAAACAAATCTGTTATGATCGGTCAGATGGTTGCTATTGGAGATAATGCGTCATTATTGATATTTGGGGAGCTTAGAGATTTCAACCCGTACTTCCAGTGTTTTTCTGTATGTCTGAATTGATTTTCCACAATAAACTTCATGTTTGCGAGAACTCTCGAACATCTATATCTTTATGCATTATAATGGTAACAATCAATATTAGTCGTTTTCCCTCCGCCTCCAGAAAGCGTAGAGGTGGGGGGGAGGTCTTTGCTTTCGAAGGTAGAAAGAATAGGAAGGGAAGGAATGCAGGACAAGGTGGAGAGGACATATGAAGACAGGGGAATAAAAATCGAAGGCGGGAAAATAAATGGAGAAAATAAAAGTAATAGAAAAGAGAGGAAATGGAAGCTCGAAAAATGAGAGAAAGTAAAAGAATAAGAAGGCAGTAGAATAAGACGACTGTAAATGTTGAATAAAAGTAAGTAGAAGAATATTGAATATTTAATAAAATAGAATAAAACAGGAGTAAAAATGATTGAAGGAGAAGAAGAAGAAACGAGATCGAAGAAGAAGAAGAAGAAGCGAGAGGGAAGAAGAAGAAGATGAAGAAGAAGAATAAGCAGATGAAGAAAAAGAAGAATAGAGGTGGAAGAAGAAGATGAAGAAAAGAGATGATAGAAAAAGAAGAAGAAAAAGAAAGGAGCTGGAAGAAGAAGAAGAAGTAGAAGAAGAAGAGAAAGAAACGAGATGGAAGAAGAAGAAGATGAGGAAGAAGAAGCATAAAAAGATGAGGAAAAAGAAACGAGATCGAAGAAGAAGAAGAAGCGAGAGGAAGAAGAAGAAGAAGAAGAAGAAGAAGAATAGAGATGGAAGAAGAAATTGAAGAAGAAATGAGGTGGAAGAAGAAGATGTAGAAACGAGAAGATAGAAAAAGAAGAAAAAAAAAGGAGCTGGAAGAAGAAGAAGAAGAAGAAGAAGAAGAAAAAGAAGAAGAAGAAGAACCTAGATGGAAGAAGATGATGAAGAAACGAGATGATAGAAAAAGAAACGATAAGGAAGAAGAAGATGAAGAAACGAGATGATAGAAAAAGAAGAAGAAAAAGAAAGGAGCTGGAAGAAGAAGAAGAAGAAGAAGAAGAAGAAGAAGAAGTAGAAGAAGAAGAGGAAGAAACGAGATGGAAGAAGAAGAAGATGAGGAAGAAGAAGCAGAAAAAGATGAGGAAAAAGAAGAGAGATGGAAGAAGTAGAAGAAGAAACGAGATGATAGAATACGAGGAAACGAGACGGAAGAGGAAGATGAAGAAACGAGATGATAGCAGAAGTAGTAGAAAAAGAAAGTAGCTAGAAAAAGAAGACGACGGAGGAGGAGGGGAGGAGGAGAATGGAGAAAAAGGCATTAGAAAATGAGATCATAAGAAAAGGGAGATAGATAAGGATAGAAGCAAAGAAAAGGAAATGAAAATACAAAACGAGGAGGCGTATGAATATAGAAATGAAGAAGACAAAAATGAAAGAAAGGAAGAATAAATGAAATGACCGAAAAATTTAAAAGAAATTTGACAAGAGACGACAGAAGAAAAATGAACATTAGAACGGTAAAAAGGTGGGAGAAAAGGTAAGTCAAAATAGAAGATGAAGGAGGAAGAAGAACATCTTAAAAGAAAGAAAAAGAAACAAGAAAAACAGAAGAAAAACTGGAACTAGCGGGATAGAATAAAAATACTGAAATACGAAAAAGCCCGAAGAAAAAAATGACGAAAGAAAAGATAGAAGAAAATTAGGAAAGATGACCAAGAAGAAAGAAAAAGGCAAACGCGAAAAGAAAGTAAGGAATAGAAGAGGAAACGAGGAGAAATAACTAAAATGAAGAAAAAAGACGAAGAAACAAGATGAAAGAATAAAACGAAGGATATAGAAAAGTAGAAGAAAAGGGAGAAGTCAAAGGAAGTAGAAGAGCGAAAAGATATAAAATTAGCAAAGGTAGAAGAAGAAAAAACGAACGATGAAGAAAAAGATAAAGAGAGGAAAATAAGAAAAATAAGACCGCAAAGAAAAAGAAGAAGAAACGAGTTGATAGAAAAGAAGAAGAAACGAGATGATAGAAAAAGAAGAAGAAGAAGAAGAAGAAACGAGTTGATAGAAAAGAAGAAGAAACGAGATGATAGAAGAAGAAGAAGAAAAGAGTTGAGAAAAGAAGAAACGAGATGATAGAAAAAGAAGAAGAAGAAGAAGAAGAAGAAGAAACGAGATGATAGAAAAAGAAGAAGAAGAAGAAGGAGAAGAAACGAGTTGATAGAAAAGAAGAAGAAGAAGAAGAAAAGAAAACGAGATGATAGAAAAAGAAGAAAGGAATAGAAGAGTGGATAATAGAAAACTTAACTTAAGGGTGAATGAAGAAGGTAGAAGATCAAAAAGTACGAAAAATCAGAAGAAAAACAATGACAAGGTAGAAACAAAAAGCCCCAATAAGAGAAGAAAAAGCAGACAGTAGATGAAGAAGAGACAAGAAGAAAAAAGAAACGAAGAGCAAATAAAACAAAACGCTAAAAAATATAATAAATAAGTGTAGGGAAAAGAGAAAGACAATAGAATAATAAGAAAACATAAAAGAAAATGAGAAATATGACGGAATATTTCAGGGGGAAAAATAATTAACCGAGGAAAAGAAAAGAGAAGAAAAAGAAGACTTAAAATGTCGTTGTCTTTTCATGCATTGTTTGAAAATTATTTTCTGAGAAAAATAACAATGATCAATTCTTTTTTTTTTTTAATTTCATTTTTAAATATTTTATTGCCGAACAGACCACAAAATAACGATTTTATAACAGATGAACGGTACTCGAGAAAAAAAAATTGTCTGTGTTTTGCTTTTAATGATGATTTTATATTAACTTTTTGCTTTTGAATATAATTTTTGATCATTCAAATTATTTGCTCACCTTAAGTTATTAACCATTTTTAATGCTCAGCTCGTGGAACTTCTTGAAAGTAGGCCTTTCCCAAATTCATGGAGAGGAATGGGTTATTAATCTGTCGCGCTTGCGCCGTGTTTGTTGGTAGGGCCGGATGTGACAAGGTGGGGCAATCATATCACTTTTCGATTCAAGAGAACCGAGTTCCAGTCCCGATTGTGTTCATTATATTCACTTACGCGCAAATATCCTCGCAAAATGTATGAATCCACCTTTTCACCCGACAGTTTATTAACAAGATTCACCACTAAATCCTATTTTCTCGAAAAAATTCTTACAATATAAAAACGTGTTCTGGCTTATTAACCCTGCAAAAGGTTGATAGACCATAGAAAATTAATCAATCTTTTCGATTTATGATCAGCCAAGAATATTTAATAGTAAGGAAATATAACCAACCCGACTGGAATTCGAAACCGTTTATCCGATTTCTCGTTACGAGCCGTTATCCGTTACTTCACCCACACAGCCCCTTGGATCTCAAAGCGGTCACCCATCTAGGGACTGACCATTGTCGACCTTCAGTAATCGGTCTAGAACTGGTGTTTTAATGTGATATGACCATAAGTTCTAACTACTTTCTATTTTTATTAATTTCGGTCCTGCTCTATGGCAGTGAAGGTTGGACAATCTCCTCATAGATGAAAAAGAGACTTCAGCCAACAAAATTGTTGTTCTATAGAACGAATCCTGAGAATTACATGAACTATGCACGTAAGCAATGAGAAAGTTTGAAAAAAAAATGGAAACGAAAAGCATAGCATCAGAAAGAGACAGGTGAAGTCTCTGAGACATATAATGAGGAAAGAAGGTTTATAATATTTGACACTCACAGGACACTGAAGTCAATAGGGACAGAGGGAAGCAGCGCATCTATCTAACACACTTGAGTAAATGACTGACAGAACAGAGATGAGGAGATATAGCAAAAAGATAAACTTTACTAAGAGCTAGGAAATTATGAAGAATCACGTTCATTCACGTCGTGCATAGACACCTTGTTAATTAACCCATAACTGTAGGGTGAAAAAGTCGATTCAGCTGAGCAATGGCAAGAGGAAAAAGATCATTCAGGCCTTCAGTAATGGTACCAACATTCATACTCTGGCTTCCATCTTCAAAGTCCATTCAAGAACCATCAAGAGAATGGCGAATAAGTTTAAAAATGGGAACCGTAGAAAGCAAAACTAGATCAGGAGCTCACAACAGGAAGAGGAATCATCATTTCAAGAAGATGAAGAAGACAGTGTTTCAGAGAAATATTTGCAGATAATTAATGGTCAGAATATTTTATATAATAGGTATAATTTTTAATAAACTGTATGTCATTTTTACGATGTGGCGACTGCTTTATGCATTTTAACGGATTTTCAAAATGTCTCTTCAATAATGATATTACGTACACTCCACTGATATTACAATTCAAAATTAATAGAAAAATAATGTGAGCAAAATATTGAAACACTGTCGTTGTAGTGAGGACAAATTTCTCAAGACAAACTAAATAGGAAATGAATGCTCCATGACATAGCTTTCATATTTTCCACTTAAAATAAACTACAGGGAAACAAGAACATTCGAGCGTTCATCTATACTGGTATGCTTAACATTGTACTGATCGGAGAAGCATCTTGGAAGGCAACTGTACAAATTAACGCTTCTTAGAAATAAAACTGTGTGAATGAAACTTATGAAATACGAAAGGAATGAAGATAATTCAACCCTGTATAAGTGACATGGCGGGTCCTAGATGCAAATGTTTGAGCTCGTGAAACTAACGAATAGCTAGCGATCTTTCGTCTCTGGGAAAAGAGTTGTAGGGTGGAAATTAATTTATCATCCAGAAGGACATATAGACAATTTTGAACACCATCAAGAGTGGAAAGTGAGGATTTAGCTACTTCAGCCCAGATATGGCAGTAATACTCCCTTTCTGGTCTGATGAGACAATTTTAAACATAGATCATGGCAGGAGGTATCACATAAATTCGAGAGCCATACAGGGGTCCGATCATTTTTCCAAAGTCTTTAGATATGGATCGTATATACGAGTTCCACTCGAGGCCTGGGCTGAAGTTGCTTCCTAACAGACATTCAAAACAAGGAGTGATTAAGAATACAGCTGTTTATCATGACATGAGAAAATAAGTGTCTCATCAGTGATGGTGAAACGTTACTAGCTTTCGAGGTATTGATTGTTAAAAGCCAGTTTTTCCTTCGCTGAGCTTTTAAAGCTAGATCAGAATTGAGATCAGCTGCCAGACTCTAGTCTAGATATTTAGAGAGGTTCCTATAAATTGTGTTATTATATACATATACTGGGTGTAACAGCAAAATTGTCCAAGAATCGTGTAACAGCATAAAATGTCCATCCCACAAAATATTAAATATCTAAAAAACCACTAAACTAATTAAGTTTCTTTTTCCCAGGTTTTCAAGTAAGAAAGTTAGCCATCTTGACGTCATTTTTCATAATAATCACTAAAAATTCAGGTCAAAATCGTTTTGTGTCAGCCCCATTGTCCTCACAACTGAGCAATGGCAAGAGGAAAAATATCATCCAGGCCTTCAGTAATGGTACCAACATTTATACTCTGGCTCCCATCTTCAAAGTCCATTCAAGAACCATCAAAAGAATGGTGAATAAGTTTTTAAAATGCGGGAACCGTAGAGAGCAAAACAAGATCAGGAGGTCACAACAGGAAAAGGAATCATCATTTCAACTTAGAGCTTAAAATATCAAATAGAAAAGATCCAACTCAATTCATAAGAAGTGAGAGAGGTGATTCTGCCATGACAATCCAAAGAGAAGAGAAAAATGACTAGAAAATGAAATCGTACGTGAAGTAGGCCAGAAATTTAGATGGTTAGAAAGGGCAAAGATTATGTTGAATGAGTTGGAAAATGATCCTGGAATATAATATATATATATATATATATATATATATATATATATATATATATATATAATTTTATTTCACTCCTTCATGGGATTTCGATCATTAGCTATAATTAATTAATGATGAACAGGTCATTTTCGTTTCTGATCGATTCCATTACAGTTCTTCTGTTAAGCTTAGAAAGTAATTATACGTTCTTATTTCTCAAAGTAGAGTCCAGTAACGTTATAAAAACCTCAGAGAATTCCAGTAAGGCATCTTGCATCATTTCTCAAGTACAACGGTTCAAATTGTAATCCAAGAAATGGACAAGCTTGCTTTTACACGATTTTCTATTACAGCCGACATATTTAATGATGGTCTGATAATCTTTTTCCGGATAATATAAACCAGAAAGAAAACCTCGCGAAAATAGCCTTACGCAACACCTGAATAGATCTCATGGGCTTAAAAACCTTTGCCATTGTCAACAACCGTTAAGGACGTACCTGGTAAGGAGGATTTGATGAGTTCTAAGACTCTTCCAGATATACCACAGCTGGAAATTTGTTGTAATCACACGTTTATATCAAGCGAGTATCTTTGAAATGTATTTATTTCAGACATTCATCAGATTTATTCGGTAAATGTGCCGTAGTAGAGTGTTGTTGTGTATAAAGAATCTTTCTGAAATCATTCAGCTTCTTGAATCATAATTCTACTTGTGTCGTCCAAATAATAAATATATGTATAACCTGTCATCTTAATACCATCTATAATTCGCTATGGGTTCACACCCTTACCAATTATATTCTCATTCTAAAAGTTCACCCCTCCTCGCCTTTGAGCTTGTGAGGACAGTTGCTTCCAGCAGTCATCCAGACTTCGCTCCATCTGTCATCAAGAGTAACACCGCATCCATCAATAAAAAGAAGGGTTATATGCCAACTTACATGTACTCCGCTAGGTATTTCATTTAATGTTCTTTATATATGTCATAAGAAGGCGACCTTGTGATCGTTCCCACATTAAGTGACTTGATTTAGGAACCAGTATCGACAACTTATCCTAATTCGACATCAGAATCGTCCATATTCTCCAATGAATGCCTTCACAGTTCTGTGGTACTTGCTCATCATATTTCCAATTTCCAAAGCTGGTTACTTCTTGTAAGCAATGAGATTAGTAAACATCCCTCTTTATCAGTCAAATCAACCTTAAAAACTATCTTGAAATTGCAAACTCAAATCATGGTTAGTAATTTATGACTAGAAAATTCAGAACTTTTCATGCAAATGGCTACCCTTTATTTAAATCTGCGCAGAACAAACCGACTTTTGACTTGACTGTCCAAAAGGATGTTGCCACGATTCAGAAAATGAAACCTTAAGATTCTCGTAAATATTGAAGTGGCTAGTTATGCGAGGCAGTGTGTAGATTGTTGCAATAATGCTTACATTTTGTACTATAAAAGACGGATGAATTCAACTAACCGAACAGATTTAAATGATTGCGTATAACATAGACATAGATATAAACATCAAATTTCTCCTTTGTCGTTGTTTTTCGGCTACTAAGTATTCTTGTCGTCAAGCTATGATTCTCAAACAGAACATCTTGGCGCCAATTGAGGAATTTCCCCTAAAGAGTAATTTTTCTAGAAAGAAACATACATATAAGTCGTAAGAATAGCAAAGAATATTAGATAGCTATTCGAAATGTATTTCAGTACGAAGGTTCAAGAGCCGCTCAAG